CGAACAGTCCTCGATTAAAATGCAGCTCTGCAACACCCAAACAAATTCTTGTTTACTTCTAAAAATGGTAACCCCCACCCCGGACCACTTCAGGAGTTTACTACAGATTTAACTACCATGCCAGCCCTGCTGGGGTTTTGTTTCTAAAGAGTCGGCTGATAGTACTTAACACCACAAGCTTAACGTTTAGGACTACACAATGCTTTAAACTGTTAAACATGTTGTTTAGGTGTCGACAAAGCCATGTGATTGAGCAAGTATTTCGCTGTGTTTATTCTCCTTTCACCTGGGCTATGAGGACAAGGCAAAATACCCTCAGCTGAAGCTAGCATGCTACTGATGCTAATAACAACATGGCTGCCTCCATGCTCAACCATTCTGACCTTTGCAAGACATTGTGGTGTTAAGTCTGAGACATTAAAATAACGGTGTTTTCACTCCTCTACACCTTTAATGAAGCGTATCTATGTCTCCTAATCTCATGCGTCTGATATTGTAAAGTACCGCCGCGAATTATCCAATTGAAGCCCATCTAGGTGAAAGGTCATCCGAGCTTTTTATTAAAAACTACGCATTAACGTCACATAAGCGCAGTTTGTGAATAAAGAAAGATGACTTCATCTGCGTAAGTCTTATGTGACAATTTTTTGCACGTTAACTTAACACAGCTAAAACAACAGTGGCAATGGGGAGGAAGTTATGGCTGTGTTTTTGGAGGGGGTGGGGGTCGTATTATGATCCGAGGAGTCGCTTCACGTGCAGGCTAGCGTCACTGAAGGTCACCTAAGCAAAGAGGGTGTCTGATACAATACAGCTTTATTTGTAAAGCACTGTAAAACCTTCAGACCAGAAGTGCTGTACAGAGAAATACATTTCAAAAACATCATACAGCTCACAAAACATAATATAAGTACAAATACAAATACACGCATTGCAACCCTTTTAGTGCGTGTACGTTTGAATGTGTATGTTTTTTGCCTTACCTAAGACATCGGCGTTCTTGTTGTGCGCAATGAAGCAGGCATCGTCTCCGTAGCACATCCCTTTCTTCAGGATCCCCTTACGAAAGTCTTTACCGAAGCCATAACTGGCGGAGATCAGGCTGTAGTCCCGAGTGTCCGCCTGAGACAGTCCGCCCAGGACGGCCCTGGCTACCAGTCTGCCATAAGACAGTACGGATAACATCCCCCAGCAAGCACCAAGTCCGTCTTGTTTTGAGCACAAACACGCAGTCTTCTCTCTCCCTCTATACCCGGCCCGGGCCGCCTGCTGCTCGGCTACTTCTTCTGATCAATCCCCGGCTGGCTGTCTCTCTTCAACCGTCCATTCGCTTGCCACTCGCCCGCTTCAGTGAATTGGTAACGTACCCCCCGCAGTTGCTAGCTCTACTCAACACACCACCGTCTGCCCGGATTAGTTACGTTTCAGTTAATGTCTCAGGTGTATATTTCCATGGACGCAGTTCCTCCGCTGGGCTCTCTTCTTACCGACATGTTTCCACTGGGTACCGGAGGAAGCTGCGAGTACATACGGGTGCTTGACCGTTTACAACATTGACGTCACGACACCCCAGCGTTAGCCAATGACAGAGCATCCCGACAGAGCTGCGGTTACTGCGAAGGCTTCAGGTGTGCACTTGTTCTGTGTATCTGGACGTAACGGTGGACGTTCACTGTTATTTTTGATTACCTAATGTGTTATATAATACGGTTATTATATCTTTGAGATGTTAATGATAAGAAATGTAACTACCTTCTTATCAGACATAAGTAGACCCATGACTAGACCACAGTGGGTTATTTTTTTAACAATTCATTGTTGGGTACATAAAAGGATCTTTCACAAATACACAATTGCACAAATAAGTGTGGGGTAGGCGGCGGCATATATGCAAAAAAAATTCATTATTTTACTATTACAGTTTTTACTCGATTGCTATTGCTTTTTAAATTGCTCAGTTTCTCAGAACACTAAACACAATTCACAAAACCCCACACCCAAAGTGCAAAACGCCTAATTTATCATGCTAAGTGAAGAACTACACTCAAAACTACATAAACACTTACCAAATGCAAACTTTAGCACCAAATACAACACACTTCATTCATAATACTAGATTGTTTGACCACCCAACTACACACTGCTGAGCATAATCTAAAGCACTTTCATCTTTTATGGGCTATGCTCTGTACATAGAGGTTTCTGCAGAGAAAGATTGCTTGAGTTTACAGAAATACACTAAATGAAGAAATACAAATGAGTTGTTGAAAAAAATCACATTTTATTCTAAAATAACATTGTGTAAAATGCATCTCAGCACATAGTTACTATGCTTCGGATCTCTCTAAGTGTGATGGCATTGTTTGCCAAAACCCAGTTTGTAACTGCTGCTGCCTGTGCCTCATTGAAAATCCTTAGGCTTCCACCTGCACCTCTTTGTTTCTCAGTCCTTCCGATAAACAACAAAGATCTAGTGGTTGGTCAGTGTCTGTGTTGCATAAAAGTAAGTTTACCACAGTAAAATGTGCAGGATTTGTGTACAGTTATAGTAGCAACATGCCAACAATTCAATTACAGTAATGAAGTAAATACGTTTCACACAACATATATAAGCACTGATATATCATGAATTATGCAGAGCTACAAACTAACTAACCTGTTTTCAAGTCTAAGTGTCCGGATTACAGAGGCAACAGTAAATCGGTTTAGATTAGGCTGAACCCTCTGTCCAGCCTCTCTCATCGTCAAACCATGGTTGATAACGTTTCATAATAGAGAGTATTCTTCTTTGTACACATCCTCTCCCTTCAGCTCTACCTCTACCTCTCATTCTTTCTCCTCTCTTTCTCCTCTCACTTTCACTCTCACCCCACCTCTTCCTCCTCCTCTTGATCTTGATCTTGATCTTGCTCTTGCTTCCATGTTGGCTTCCATTGTTGCTGTAAGAAAGTACTCACCTGTGGTCTTTTTATAGTGCTAACATCCTGATTGATGAGCCAACAATTATGCTATCAGGTGTTTGGTCAGGTGGAACGTGTTTCTTGATGATTGGTCCATGTGTGAGGCATTTTGAATATCAGTGTTTTAAACCTGCTAACACGTGACTTTATGTCAGATTCCTGTGTTTTACGTGGAGAAACGTGTGCAGTGGTTTGCAAAAAGTGCCATGTTGATTTGCAAATTGTGCTGAAAACGTGTTTAGAGTTTTGGAGATTTGAGCCGATGTTTTGCTCTTTGAGTGTCAGTTAAAATAATTGTGTTTTATGTATAATTTTTGTGTGTTAGCAATCGAAAAAAACTGTAATGTTATCTTTTCATTGCAATGGTCCATTACCATTATCCAGTAGGCTATGCAGCGTCCACACGGCGGCGTGCGTTGAAGCTTGCCGGCTTAATTACGTCATTCCAGAATTAATAAACCATCCAAAAAAGTGATTTGCCCAGCTAAGGCATCAAATGTACACGTTGTATTAGATGTTTTATTTGTTGTGTGCCATGCTTTATGCAACCCTGTTACAAATACTCATTAAGCAGAAAAAAGTGTTTTCAAAAATATTCTTCAATAAATTATTTACTATTATAAGTAAAGAAAGCCACATTTACATTAAATACTAGTTAATTAATAATAGTTTTTGGATAAAACTGGTTACGTTTTATTATTTTAATAGAAAATGATAACAGGGTTGAAATTAGAGTGCGTAAGGTAACAGGGTTGAATGGCTAAATTACTTATGATTGTAGATAATGACATACAAAATACTCATGACAACAGAAATGTTGTTTGATAATATTTTATATATTTTCCAATGAAGAATTAACCCTGTTAATTATAGTAACAGGGTTGTAAGCAACAGGGTTGCAAATCAATGCTAATTTTAGCTTTTTATTGGAGGAATTAATGCTAGCTGCACAATGTAATGCTATTGTCAAGGGATGGACACACTTAGATATTTAACTACAGAAAGATACATTTGAAATTAATTTGTTTTAGTTTCATAATTTGAGTAACAGGGTTGCGTTTGTATTAGTGCCACACTCCTTTAAGAGTGACAAGATTGTATATTGATATATATAAAAAAATAAAAGAGAGGACTTAGTTTTGGTCTACCCATGGTTGTAGCACATGGCTTGCTGATGTCCTTTCCACTTTGTCATGTGACACACAGTTTTTCTTCCTCTGCCAAGCTAAAAAGGTTTCGGTAACAGGGTTGCGTGCTTGTTGTGGGACACACTTTCAGTGTTATTTCAAATGTGTTTCTGATTTAACAAATATATTTTACTATTACAAGAGACATATATCAATAGAATAATACCAACAAAAGTAATACAAAAATAAAAAACGTATTTTAAATGCAAGTTGGTCACCAAGAAGCTGGGACAAGAGAAAAAGGCCATTTTAGGGGATGTTCGAGAGATATTTGGTATTTTAAATAATATTTTGAAACCACTTTTTCTACAACTTTATATGCATCTTGTCTCAAGAGAAGTACATTTAAAAAAACAAGTGCATGTTTGAGATTGTTGGGCATGGCTTATTTGATTTTTTGTATGTGGGACATGAAATGTCCTCCAATTCTGGAATGAACAATGATTCAATAACAGTAGTTTTGTCTACATTTTTTAGTACTAAAAAAATAGAGACAAAACTACTGTTATTTAATAATCATTAGTAAAGAAAAAATTAGCAGGGATATTTCTATTGTAAAAAATATAACAAAACATTATAATTAAATAAAACACATCTTTTCAGAATACTATGTTAATTCCAACACAAATATAACATTATTTAAGAACAATGTATTTTTCTTGCAAATCCCTGATATGAGTAAAACAAACATGCAACCTTACACAATAAGGAGAAAAAAATGGGGTATAATCGATCAGTTAGTCACTGAAAGTAAAACATCGGAAATTATGAATCTTGTTTTTTTTGTCTCATGATGATCATTGCGTCACAGCGAACTGTCACCGCCTCCATTGCCTCCAGGCTGCTTGCAGTACATCAAAACGAGCACACCCAAAATAGGCAAAGCCACCCTTAGCCAGAGCTAAAATAACGGAGCCGAGCGAGAGAGAGGACAACAACGTATTTCCACCAAATTAATATCAAAACCCACAAGAAAACCATTGGATCAGGGTAAGAAATACTTAATTAATAGAATACTCCATTAAAATGTTATTGAGACCTTTGTTGGTAGGCTGGATGGGATAAAAAGCGCCTGTATTATGACATGATGCAGCGTCAGTGGTCGTGTTTGAGCTAAAGGACAGCATGTTAATTATGCAATGTTTGACTGTTTGAAAAATACAAACATTGTTGGCTCATAGTGGTTATGCGTGGCATATTGATTGAATTGATTTAGGCCTATTTCTTTATAGACATAATTTGATAAAAATGGGTGCTCCGCTTGAATGTCTTTGAAATTACGGTCTACTCTCAATTTCAGTGTAATAGGACTATCTTGTAATAAGAAATATATGTGTTTAGCCTATATAAATAAATCCTGTGTGGCTCTCAATGCTAATTAAAAGGAATTCCTGGGCTATTTTACGTGTCATCCTGAACAGAGAAAGCGATGTTGTTTTCTCAATGCTTGATTATTTTTACGATCATTTCCGTAAAACACTTTTTCTCTTTAGGTCCATGATGGGAAGGTTGTGTGATTTCGCTCTTCTTTCCCTTGTTGTTGTGTTTCTTCTAAACACTGAATCAACATGGGCTAAAAGGGGAAGCAGCAGCAGTGGAAGAAAAACGTCATCCACAAAAACACAACCTAAGCCACCATCTCAGCCAGCAAATTACCCTCGGCAGCCCCAGAATCCAAATAGAAACAGCAACCCATATCCTGCTGGCGGAAGTTACCCAGCTGGCGGAAGTTATCCAGCAGCGGGCAAACCTAACGCAGGAGGAGTTCCCAGGCAAAACCCCCCGAATTATCCAGGAGTCGCTAGTAACCCAAACCAGCAGCCTGGTAGAGCCAATCCTGCTGGTTATCCAAACCAGAACCCTGCAGGTGGATATCCAGCTGGAGGTAATTATCCAGGCGCTGGGGGGTATCCCAACCAAAACCCAGCAAGAGGTTATCCAAATCAGAATCCAGCTGCAGGAGGCTACCCAGCAGCAGGAGGCCAATATCCAGGCAGAGCTGGCAACCCCGCAGGAGGATATCCTAACCAGCAGTATCCAGCTGCAGGAGGTTACCCAGTCCGAGGAGGAAATACAGGACAGGGTTATGGTCAGCCTCCTCCATATCCAGGTGGTGGTTATGGAGGCGGTGGGTATGGAGGTGGTGGTTATGGAGGCGGTGGTTATGGAGGCGGTGGTTACCCAGGTGGAGCAGTCGGCGGTTACACCAACTGGAACCCAAATAATAAGATCCTCAGTCCCCGCTACGGTGGAGGAGGATACGGTGGAGGATATGGTGGTGGAGGATACGGTGGTGGGATGGGAGGCTCTCCTTTCTCCCGCTCTGTGAGTAATATGGGTTACCAGCCCCAATCTTCAGGTTTTGCCAAAAAAGCCATGATGGCGGCAGGCGTTGGTGCTGTGGCTGGAATGGCCGTTGGATATGGATTAGGACGTTTCCCACGACCCCACTTCAATTTCCGCAACCCTGAAGAAGAGCAACACTACAACAGCTACATGTACCGCAAGTATGGCACCAAATCCACCGATGAAAAAGATTACGGCCGTGATTATGAGTACAAGCTTCCTCCACGCGCCGAGTCTTACGAGAAGTTCATGGAGAGCTGCATGAATAAGACTGATCTTCTTAAAGACCAGGCAGGCGACCAGGATGATGGTGACACCGTCGGCATTGAGGAGATTGGATACCCAGCCCTAGTTCACCAGATGAAGTCCAGGCGATGTGTTGAGAAGTACATGGAGTACTCTGAGCGCTTCCTGCAGGAACGAAAAAGAGCAGAGCAGAGAATGGCAGAAAATAACAGCAGCCCTCTGAGCTTGGGGATGTTTCAACTTTTCACATCCCTCCTGATGCTTCTTTCCAACATGCTCTTATTCCAGTGAGAAGCATTAGTGTTCCTGTTTGCATACCCTAAATGAATTTCTACGTCCTCCATTAAATCTGCACGTCAACATACTACTTATGAATATCTTCTGGTCACATTTAGTCAATCCTCTATTATCCTCTATATGTGTATATAACCAAGTCAGTTATAAGAAGCAGCTATCAGTCTAAACTTCTACAGTTCGATCATTAGTTGTGTGTTGTACAAGCTGCACATTTCTTTCTTGTCAATTCTCTCATGAAATAGTCTTGCATCTCTTTTTATTTTGCACTTTTTTACTCTACATTATTGCACAGATCAGTTTGTGTGACATCTTTTTTAATGCTACTGTATAACCTAGGAATATGACACAAGGGTTTAAATTAGGTACACAAACATGCAACTAACATCATTCCACCATTCATACTTTTTTACTATCATCGCGGGCAATTGGACAGACTGATATTTCAATTGGTTAAAATGCTTAATCAAAGGAAAATGTGTTTTCATGAAATATAAATGAATGTTTAAGCCAGGGTTAACTAACTTTTACAAGCTGTGTTTTCAAAGTAGATTTTCTGATTGTCATTGCAATGTGCTGGGGAGTTGATCACTTCCAAATAATGTAAGTTTGGTAATTGGAACAAACAGAGAGATAAATGATACAGCTTTTTTTTTTTTTAAAGCCCAAAAGAAGATATGTTATACCAGAAAGGAGAAATAAATGTCTGGTAATGGACAGTGAGATGCATTTAAATGTCATAAAATAAGGAATGAGACATTTTGATTGGCCCTAATTGTGTTTGCAAATTGAATCAAGCTTCCCTTATGAACACAAAATGCTGTTAACCATAATGGAAAATGTTGAAGTGCATTTCCGTTTAGATAAATGGCTTACCATTACAAACTCACGTGTGGGCAGTCAGCGGAAGACTGAAGATGTCCCAAAAGCAAAGCCCCACCCTTCTCAGGAACATAACACCTACAAATTGCTTCTGTGTTGCCTGTAAATTAATGTACTGCATGTTTTAGCCCTAGGCTGTCAGTGAGCATGAATCTTTCGATGTGCAGCCATTAGCGGTGAAGTGATGTGGCTTTCTGTCTGCAGCTGTCGAGATCAATTTCTTGAGCATTGCGCCTGATGCTTTAAAACTGTGCCGTGCTACATGCTGGGATTTGAGGTTTCGAACAGATAATGTCTACAACAATTCAATACGTTCATCATAAATTATGTTGTTTGAATTTTGGATTTCCATGTTTCCAGGCTATCCATCTTCCCGCATTATAACAGTCACATTTTGGGTGTTGGCAAATCTGTAAATACCTCGGTTGAATTTTCACAAATTCAAGCTTCCCCTGGCTTTTTATGATCTTTGACTCTCCAGGAATTAAACTTCTGCTCTGATTTTGCTCCCACTGTAAGTTTGTGTACTAGTAATTTCTCTTACTGTCCCAGCTTATTTTATTACATCTGACAGTTTTAAATATTTCTGGTTCCTTGGTTTTATAATGCACTTTGTGATGATGTTTCAAAAGATTGTACTGTAAATGAAGTTTGCAGGAAGGGAGTTTCAACCAAGTAAATGTTCAGTTTATGGACAAAACTGTCCCTGTACAGTTCAGAGTATTGACAGTACTGTGTTCTGTCTGTTATTGGTATGTTAATCACGCTATGTTTAGTGTGTAGTAACCAAGAAAATGAATTGAATACTGTCCAAATGTTGACAGTCTATCTGGAAGTGATATGCACTGTTGTATTGTGATTTATTTGTATTGTTTTGATCTCAGTTAGTTTGTTATCATACTGCTTTTTTTTCTTTTCTTGATTCTAGCAATGTTGATTATAAATTAATTTAACATTTTCATACTGTTTAGACTGTAGAATATCTGTAAAGTGCACTTATTTCACTTAGGTTTAGATATTCTGTAACTGCGTCACGGAGCTCATACAGGAAGTGCAGAGATCTAAATCTCCCTGTTTTGACTTGCGGTTGTTAACGCTTTGGATTACTAACATGATTTAATATTGTTTGTCATGGATGTTTATGTGTTAAATAAAATAAGTAACAAACTAAGGGTCTTTGTGTTAACAATATACCTTCACCCTGTCACATAACAATATCCTCACTAATTTAATATTATATCATAACATCAAAGCATAGAAAACGAAACAGGGATTAACTAATTATATTTTGTAACCAGTAGTTATTCGCAGTCCAGATCTATCATAATAAGGCAAATATTTGTAATGCATGATTATATGTTCTGTAAATGGAAAAAAGTTCAAAACAGCTGCAACAACTAGTCGCTATTCGGAAAGGTTTGATGAAGTTGTTATAATTACCATATAAAAGCACCAAATGTCAATTCATACAGTTATTATAATAGATACTCAGTCCCAAGTTATGTAAGAGATTGTTGGATGGCTTAAAAGTAGTCAAAGCGTGTGAGCGAGTAATCATCCTGGAATCAGGCTGTAAAATATAACATTACAATTAGGTTGCTAAAGCCTCAGGGACCTTAGCAACCTCATTTTACTGGAAAAGAATATTGCACAAAGAAGAATATTGTTTAAAATAGCTTTTATTTCATTTGGTTTAATGACTGAATGCTTTTCCTGTGATCAGACGTTGCTCAAAAGTCCCTGATCCAGGCTGCTATTAGGAAGGACAACACATTCCCAAGTGTGATGCAGATGTTAGTGGTAGGAGCGGGGGCAGCTGACTTAACAAAGGCTCTCCAGAGGGAATGGTTCTGAAATCTCTGGTTTTCGTTGTGATGAGGCCGCTGATCATGCTCGGAAGAGGACGTCTTGTGGCCATGATGTTTCCCAGATCCGTGTTTTCCTTTACCAAAGAACCCCAGTCCGGTGCCGGTGCCTCCCAGCATCCCGGCTGCTGCTGCTGCTCCCGCCCACTTCAGGCCCTTCTTGGAGAGGCTTTTGCTTGGAGAGGAAGGCGCTTTATCATCATCATCATCACCTTTTCCACGACCCTTAAAGCCACGCTTACTGTTCACACCTGGGCACAGAGCTGCAGTGAGCAACAGCAAAACCCACAGCGAGAGAAGCTTCTGCTGGCCAATCATACTGAAGATCTAAAAAATTAAAAAAGTGGCAGGAGATTGGAGCCTGATCAAATAAAAATCCATATTGCTGTGTTTGTGTTTTTGCATAGGTTATATATTATTTTCTTTGAGAGACAAAGAGACTACTGTTGGCTGACGTCCATGCCAGCTTTTGATTGAGCTGGTTGCACATCAAAAGTCACATGCTCACCAGCACTAACACAACAGACATCCAGAACCATCCACTTGCTTTGTCAACACTGGGCTCAGCTGGGAATTATGTGTGTGTGATGCATATTTCTCTCCTTTCTATGATGAATAGGTTTTTACGGTCTCAGATAAACATTGCAGAAGATAGTGTTGTATCAAAGTGGATATGCAACTCCATGTATCATGCCAATGCACCTGGAAGGAGATCATTGAAATCTTAAGTCACACAGGTAAAATGTAGTGATACCATCCACTTTGATGTTAATTAAAAACAATAAATAATGAACTTACCTTTCTGGTCGGAGTCAGTGATGTTGGAGCAACAGTCCTTTTTCAAACCACAACACTTGCCAAGCAGAAGAGCAGCATTTTGGTGTCAGTATCATTTCTAAATAAACATCTACTCCACAGAGCAACACAGCTCCTCCCCAAAACAAACCCCGCTTTACCATTGGTCCAAGATCAATAATACAGTACAGGTTGAATGGTTTTAGCTGATTGTGGCAGTTCACATACAGTTGCCCTAGTCTTCTCCCATTATCCTCCAAATGCAAAGGCTGATGCCAAAACGAAACAATGATATTACAAAAAAATGCCCCAAAGGGCTGTACAAAATAAAAACAAAATACAAATATCATGGCAAAAAAATGATAAAAACATTATGAACAACATCATGTGTATGTAAAACCAAACAGAAGTGATGCTAATGAAGATGGAAACTAGTTGATGGAAACTAGGTGACAAGGAAGACATAAGAAGAGATGTGTTTTGAGTTTTCTTTTTATTAAAGGAATCAACGGAATTAGCTTCTCGGATCTGAATGGGAAGACGTTCCAAAAGAGAGGTGCTCAGAAGGAAAAGGTAGCTGCCACCTACTGAGGAATTGTGAATTCTGGGGATGGAAAGGAGACTGGGATTTTGGGATAGTGGGATCCTGGTAGATAGACGCGGGGTAATTAATGATGATAAATAGGGAGTTGCTAGTCCATGTAAGATTTTAAAGGTTAACAGTAAAATCTTGAAGTCTGATCTAATGTGAATCAAGAGCCAATGCAATGAAATGAGAACAGGAGTGATGTGATCGACCAAAGACACAAATATTACTGTCTGTACTGAATACTTTTCTACCATGGTTCTGTGTGTTTGGATTTTCTTTTATACATGAAAATCAGACATGTTTACACCTGTACGAGTCTAATGCTCAGATTTTATTGAGCAAATAAACCTGTACCTCATAAACCTGACTGGACTTGCAGCTGGATTAACTTCACAGGAAGTGGATCAAAGATTCAAAGCATAGTAGCAGGGTCGGCCCTAGACTTTTGGGGGCCATAAGCAAGCTTTGGCTTGGGGGCCCCCCTCACTCTAGCGCGTTCTCACTACACATAACACAAAACCAACTTTTGTCTTACGATGTTAGCATAAGCACACATATTGTATAAATAAGCATGTAAACACCGTGGACCTAACCTCCTCTAGGGGGGTCCTCACCTCCTCTAGTGGGGTCCGGGAGCATGCTCCCCCGGGAAGATTCTTTTTAAAATATTGAAGTTAAAAGCATCAATCTGGTGCACTTTGAGAGCAAAATTAAGAGATCTATAGATACATCTCTCAACATCCATATGAAACAGAACTGTAAACAGATTTTTCTTTATGGATATTTTACAAATCACTTAAACTGTATTCTTGTTTTGTCATATAGTATTTCATAACTGTTTTTCATTTATCCTCTCTGGCTATACATCTCATAATGTTCACATAGAAACTAGGAATATCATTCAGAAGAATTATAATTTCTTGCAAAAATGTCACAAAAAGAGTTTGCACATTTAAATTCAGGTGTTGTTATGGCAACGTCAGTGGCCAAACAGCCACATGTACTGCTGCAAATACGTTCAAACATGCTGTTGACACGTAAAGCAGTGGCAACTATGCCACCAGTTCAGCTGACTTTTTCTCAGAAATACTGTCACATAAAATCCATATATTTCAGTGCTAGGTTGACTTAACTATGAAACAGTTTAACTGACAGGGCTCAGGATCAGCTGTATACTGTAAGGTAGCTTCTAGCTTCATGCCGAACAGTAAGTCAACATTTCTTTGAAATCACCAGGTAACGCTAAAAAACATTACATTTAGATTGTATGACAAAGTGTTTATTTAATATATCTGGCTAGATAGCTACTTGCTAACGGTTTACCCCGCGATTCAAAGTAACGTCAACGTAGCTGTAATTTATGCTTTGCTTACATGTTCGCATAACTTGGAAGTTTACTGACATTTACATACCCTGTTTACCTGGCTCAAGTGGTGGCTCTTGGGTTGTTGTGTGAGCAACCACTTGAGAATTGTCGTCTTTTTTAAGAACATTTTTTTTTATGTCCATCTTCAAAAACTCTGAGTCCGACTGACAGTTTATTTTAAACATTGTCACCGCTCACAGGATAGGTACCTGTCAGCCAGCGACGGGAGAGCCTCCCCTGTCATACTCCAATGTAACGGAAAAACAACTAAAGAAAAACTAAATAGTAATAATAATAAATGTCTCAACTGATCTATGATGTAAGTGTGATTTATGTATGACTCCAATCGCTTTTTAAAGTCAAAATCAGCAAATTTGCCGAGCTCCGCTACAACTACGGGTAGCGATGAGAAGTGAGGCAGGGACGAGCTCTGCCTCTCGTAAGCCCATAGTAACTTGCTGGAGCACGGGCACTAATTTAGCGCGGGCACTTATTTTGTGAACGCGCTAAAGCCAGTTACTGTGGGGTGAGGTGAGGCACAGATGAGCTCTGCCTCACCTCAGAATGTGTCAACCCACAGAAACTGTCTGGAAAGCGGGCCCTAAGCTCATGCCTGTTACCATCTCACTGTAGGTCACCAATGTAATGTTTGTAGATCCCTTTATTAAATGTATCCTC